ACCCACCCCTCCCCCTCAGCTGATTAAACTGGGGGGTTTCTGTTGCATGCGTTCTCAGCTGCCAAGTCGTGTCTGACTCTTTGTGACCCCATGGACTGTAGCCCGCCAGGCTCCTCTGTCCAGGGGATTTCCCAGGCAAGAATACTGGAGCAGGTTGCTGTTTTCTTCTCCAGGGGATCTTTCCAATCCAGGGATTGAACCCACATCTCCTCCATTGGAAGGTGGATTCTTTACCACTGAGCTACCTGGGAAGCCGGTGTTCCTGTTACTTGTCACCGAAAGTTCTGGCTGATAAAAACTCTGCTTATGAAACTAATCGTAATCTAGAATCTACAATTGCATAAGGCAGAGATAAGTGGTTGCCTCAGGATTGGGGCAGAGGCCGGGGATGATGGGCTGGGTGCCCTAGGGAAATTTGTGGGGCTGGTGATGGAAATGTTCTTTTGGGGGGATGGAAACATTCTGTATATTGATTTGGTGATGACGTGAGCATACACACATGTGTCAAAGATTACTGAACTCTACATTAAATGGATGCAACTTATTGTATTAATGCATCCATTAGACTGCCATTAAATAATTACGAAGATTTAAAAAAAAAATCTGCCTGAGTAGGGAAGCCTTCTCCTGCATTGCCAGGAAACTTGGAGCTGGCATTTTGACTCACTGAAGCAGAGTTTTCCATGAGTTTTAATTTTATGGACTGTGTCCTGTTGTTTTCTCCAAACCCCTACTGGCTACTCTCCAGCCCCAACTGGCTGAGAATGTGATATTTTTGTACTCATGTTCTTGATTGTCTTGGTTCTGGAAGATTCTGCAATAGGTTTGCAGAGCTCCCTGACCTTGTAGCCAACCCGCTGAGGGATAGGCTTCCTTGGGTTGGGGCTTCTTCCCAAGCATTGAGAGGCTGGATCATGAATGGACTCATCTCTCCATCTTGCCTTCTAAAGGGAGCTCTTGGTTCTCAGGACAGAGGAATCCTCTTGGCTGAGATTTCTGAACCAAGCTTTGCAGAAAATCTCTTGGGCTTCAGAAAATTCTGGCATAAAATACAAACCCCAATTTATCTCAAAACCACACTGGCAGGAGATAGGGGAAAGCTGGGCGGACGCTAGAGAGGCATTCCATTTCCTCTTCTTAGGATGGAAGATGAGACAGAGGAGATGTTCGCTTCCAGGCCGTTCACTGCCCCATCTGCTATACACGCACGCCTTCGCATCCCCAACTTCATTCCGGACATCCACAGCCTGAAATGGAGCTGAAACCCCGCCTTTGGTAACTAGTGACCGTGGAATACAAAAAAGCTAGTCCGGATGTCCTTGGGTTGTGATGGGCTTGCTATGTCTTGCCATCACCCCTGAACCTCAACTCCCAGTGCTTGGCCGATGGAAAACACAGAGGTTCAGAGGTCTGAGCTCCCAGGGAAACAAGAAAGCCACGGTGCCGGATGGTCACTGGGGCTCCAGAGAGGCTGTCCAGCTGGCAGGACTGACCTCCAACAGGTGACCCCGTTTCCGAGCCCCGGCGTCTACAGCAGCTGCTAATAGTCTGTGCCGCGGAGTCCTATCCTGAAGACTAAAGGCGACGGATTCGTGGAGCTCTCAGCCCAGGGCCAGCCGCACACAGTAGGTCCTCAATAAATGGTGGGATAGGACGAGGGGTGGGAAGGAGCCTCAAGAGCGAGGGGATATAGGTGTACTTATAGTTGATTCACACTGACGTACAGCGGAAATAAATACATCACTGTGAAGCAGTTATCTTCCAATTAGAACTATAAAGAAATAAGCAGCAGTCATCGCCCGACCAGCAGGGCTGGGGTTGGCTGTTCCCACGAACGCCCCTCCTTCAGTGGCTGCTGACCTCCCCTCTGAAGCCCGTCAGTAATGCGGGGAAGCCAGGGCACCGCCCTCCGAGGTCCAGTGGTTTGCGGAGGCGGCCCCCTGCTCGTGTGTAGAGACAGCGGCGACAGGCAGTACTTGGAGAGGTGGAGAGCTCTGTCCTGCCCTAGACCACCCCGCCGCCTCCCTTATGGGGTGGGGGGCTTGGGGGGCGCAGAGAGACAAGGGTTCTTGCTTTGTCCTGCCACCGAGAAGCTGCCTAGAGGGTATGGAGACCGCACTGCCCAATTCTATGACTCTGTTGACAGCAGTTGTCAGGGGAGACCCGTCAGACCTCTTGCCCCAAGCAGTTTCAGGGTGGAAATCTGTGATGCTGGGTGGACCCTCGGCTTCCTGCCTTTATGGGACACCAGAAAGGAGGAGGCTTGGGAGGGGACTGCTGGGGGCTGGGCTGGGCTGTTTCGGGGGTGAGGATGGCTGAGGCATATGACCCCACCGATGCAGTGGACTCTGGAGGCCCCTTTAATAATTAAACACCAAAGGAGGGAGGAGGAATGTGGTCCAGGGCTGAAGTGTCTGCTAGCGGGCATCTGTGCCTTTACCCACCATTAGCACAGAAGCGAGGTGGTCGGGGTGTGGGCAGGTTACGCACGAAAGCTTTCCAGGGTGGGGTGGCAGGGGGCTGGGGCGGCAGTGGGGCAGAGAGGCCTGGCTCCTTGGCAAGACTGTGGGGAGAAGGGGCTAGGGGCTGGGAGAGGCCTCAGTCCTGGAATTTGCACCCCACCCCCCACACCTTTTGGCTTAGCACCCGCTAAGGGCACATGTCTCTTCAAATACACAGCTGCAGCCCTGCCCTGACCTCCAGGCCCTGCTGTGGGCCAGGGTCACCTACCCACCCACCAGGCCTGGGTTCTGAACCGAGGCAGCCGCAGGGAGGCCCTGGTTGAGCTCCTGGGTGGGTTGCAGACAGCTCCCTACGGGGGACTCAGGACTGGAGGCCTGGGGTGGGGGCTCCTGAGAAGAGGTGAACTCCAGGGATGCAGTGCGCCCTGAGGAGCCAGTCCTGGTCGGCCTCCTCGGGCACCTGCAGGCCTGGAGGCCTTCCTGCCGTGTGGAGGCCTGAGCTTTCCAAGCGAAGGGTCCAAGTCCTGGCCCCGGTCCCCCCATGCGTGTTGTCAGGACCCCATCTGGTTTCTCCGGGTCCTCAGGAATGTTAGCGGTGCTGGACCCCAGCTCTGCTCTCCTGGGGTTCCGTCCGGTGTGTGGAGGGGGTGCTGGGGAGGGTGCACCCCAGGGGCTGGGACAGGGGATGCGGGCACCGGTCCCAACACCAGAGCTCCTGGAACCTTGGCCTCTGGGCCACACGGAGCAGGGGCCTTGCTGGAGAGGCAGCCGGGGCTGTGAGAACAGGGAGATCAGGAGTGGGGGCCTGAGGGGGCCGGTCCTCGGGGCCACGCGCTTGGGGGTCAGCCGGCCTGAGGGGGTGTTGCGGCCTGGGCTCCGGGGTCGCCTGGGTGAGGCAGGAGGGCATCCAGGGTCTCCGGACAGAATGCCAGCCGCCGGGCGGAACCACTCCCTTGAAAGGCAGTTCCCTCCATCGGCCGCCCTGCCCACCCCCACCCCCGTCTCCACAGAAGGGGGCGCTCTGCTCCAAGGGCCCCCGATGCCTCTGCCCTCGGTCTCTCCCCGGGCCATGGGCTGTCAGGGGTGAGGGGCAGTCAGGGAGTCGGCCGGCCCGGCCCGAGTGGAGGCCGTCTCCTGGGAGGGGCTTGAGGCTCTGGCTGGGAAGTCGGGAGGTGCCGGGAACAGGGTCGCCCGCCCGCCCCAGAGACCTCAGGACAGAGAGTTCTGGAAGGCGGGAGGGGCACGCAGCAGAAGATGCAGCGGCCCCCCGGGGCGGGGGTGTGGGGGGCTCCGTGTGGACACGCTGTCTTCTTCCCGGGCTGGACTGTATCAGCCAGCACAGAGCCCGGAACTCAGGAGGTGTGATGAAAGCTAAGTTTCCAGAGGGAGCAGGGGGCCGTGGGTGGGTGGGAAGGGCACGGGGGTTAGCCAACAGAGGGGAGCGTGGGGATCATGCTCCCCGCAGCGGAGCAGTGGACACCGTCCCCGGAGAGGGAGCAGCTGGGGGTGTAGACAGGCCCGCCAGGAGCCGGGGCACGAGACCTGGGGTACGCAGCAGGCTGTGCGGGGAAGGGAGCGTGGAAGGGCAGCCCACCTGCGCCTCGGATGCCCGTGGGGTCCTCAGCGTGGGCACAAGCCCACGGACAGGACAGAGGGCAGGAAGTCTTCCTCAGTGCAAGATAGAAAAGGTTTATTGATACACATTTACTGTCTTTCATAAAACCTCCGTTGACCAAGCTGGGCCCCCGTGCCTGCAGGTGGGCTGGGGTGGCCAGGGAGAGCCAGTGCCCGCTTTCAGACGGCCCCCCGGAGCCCCGTGACGGCCTGGACGGCCCCCTAGAGCCCCGCAGGCCAGGCAGACGGCGGCTTGGACGCACCAGCCGGCATGGAGTCAGAAAAGAGAGCAAGTCACTCAAGCCGGCTGTGGCTCCTTTCTGCGTCCAGCTACCCAGCAGGACAGAAGCCCCGCCATTTGGGCCGCCAAGGGCTCCCCAGAGGCGGGAACGTCATCTGCAGAAAGATGGGACCCCGAGATGGTTAGGGGGCAGCTCTCCCCCGCAGCGCCCTTTCGTGGCCGTCTGCTCGCAGGGTCACCTTAAGAGGACGAACGGAGCCAGGAGGTGTCTTCACGGCAGGAGGAAGCTGCTGGCCCGACGGGCGATGGTGCAGGCCGAGTCCTTCTCGGGGAGGGCTGCCTCACCACGGGGCAGAGGGTGGACAGGGCTGGGTGACGCCCTCCTCTCCCTTCCTGACCACCCTGGGGCCAGAAGAAGCCCCACACCCAGCCTGGGGGCGACTTCTGTACCGCGGCTCAGGGGAGGAGGGGGTGGCTGGGGGAGCCTGGCAGGGTCTCAGAGGGCTGTCCGTCTCGCTCCCCCCGCCCCAGGGGAGCCTGTGCCCTGGGAGAAGGCGGCTCGCAGGCAGAAGCAGCTTTCTTTCCCTGCGCTCGGGCCCCAGGGCTGCTGCCAGCTCGCGTCCCTCTGTCAAGGGTCTCTGGAGGTCACGTGGGCCCGGCCTCGCCTGCAGGCGCCCGGCCTCTCAGGAGGCGTTCCCCGAGGGACACTGCATCTCCAGGGTGACCGTGTTGGGCGTGCCGCCTCCTGCCTCCCCCGGCTCGGCCCCGTCCCGCAGGGCCCGCTGGAAGACCACCCTGAGAGGCTCCCACAGGCGCTGCGACTTGTCCCTGCCGGCCAGGAAGTAGACCACGGGCTTGGCGCAGCTGTTGATGCAGAGGCACAGGTCGGTGACGTACTCGGGGAAGGGCGCCGGGATCCGGAAGACCCAGAAGAGGAACCAGTCGATGCCCAGGTAGATGGAGGACACGAGGAACACCGAGACCACGGCCAGGGTGACGTGGTTGAGCTTGGCCGAGCGCTGGCGCCGCCGGGCCCGGCACTCCACGTGCAGGATGAGCGCTAGGCAGGGCAGCACCATGAGCGGGCAGAAGACCAGGAAGAGCAGGATGCCCAGGAAGGCGTCCATGTGCCTGCAGCCCGCCCCGGACGCCTGGCGGCCCAGGAACACGCAGAAGTAGTTGTGGACGCAGGTGACCAGCAGCGACAGGGCCCAGAGCAGGGAGCACGCCACGGCCGACAGGCGCTTGGGCCGACGGCGCCAGTACCAGGCGGGAAAGAGGACCGACAGGCAGCGCTCCGAGCTGATGGCTGGCAGGAGGCTCACGCCGGTGAGGACCATGCAGAGCCCCACGATCCGGGACACGGCGCGGACGTAGTCGGCAAAGGGGCCCAGGAAGCCCCCCGTGTTCAGAATGGAGAACACAGCCTTACTAAAGAGGTAGCCGACGTCCGCGCTGGCCAGGTGCAGAAAGTAGATGGAGAAGGGGCTCCTCTTGATGGAGAAGCCGAAAAACCAGAGGACCAGCCCGTTGCCCACCAGGCCGCACAGACAGAGGAGCAGGAAGATGTAGTTCATGACGGCCGGCGGCGGCAGCATGGTGATCTGCTCGATGGTCAGGAAACCGCGGCTATAGAGTTCGGGGGCCTCGCTCACGCCGGGACACATCTGCGCAGGTGCGGAGGGGGAGGCGCAGTGAGGGGGCTGGTCTCCACCCCCCACCCGCGCCTGCTTCCGGGTGGGCTAGGCTCCACCCCCAGGGCTTCCCGCTGGCTCGGAATCTGCCTTTAATGCAGGAGACCCAGGTTCGATCTCTGGGTGGGGAAGGTTTCCTAGAGAAGGAAATGGCAACCCACTCCGGCATTCTCGCCTGGGAAATCCCATGGACAGATGTGGTGGCGGGTTCAGGGGGGTAGCAAAGAGCCAGACAGGAGTGAGCGTCTAAGCACGCATGCGGGCTCCACCCCAAAACCCACATCTGCTTCCAGGTCTACTAGTCCTGATGACAGACTTGGCTTTGGAGCAACGAATTGGCTCCAACTGGAGCAGAAGTCACCCCTGATCTACCACTCTGTGCCCAAGTCTGGAGCTGGCAGCTTACCAGAGTGATGGTGAAAACGGTGAAAATGACCAGTCCCTCATCAAGGGACCTGACGTCCCACTGCCCAGAAAATGTCCATATGGTGCAAGAAAACTGAGGAGCCTTTCTACACTGAAGAAAACTAGAGAGGCATGACCAATCATGGCAGGGCTGTAAGCCTGGATTGTACTGTGGGTCTAGCCATCGCTATGGAGGCTATTACGGGAATGACTGGGGAAGTGGGAATACAAACCATGTCTAGATAATGGTATTGGACCCATGTTGCGCTTTCTGAACAGCAGTGCACTGAAGATGCACTGTAGCTGCATGGGAGGGTCCTTGATCTTAAGAAGATACAGGCTGTTTGGGGGCAAAGGGCATTGTAGTCTGTAATTTACTTTCTTTTTAAAAACTTTTAAAATATTTATTTGGCTGTGTTGAGTCTTAGTTGTGGCGCATAGGATCTCCACTCTTCCTTGTGGCAAACGACGTCTTTAATTGTGACAGATGATCTCTTAAATGTGGCATGTGGGATCTAGTTCCCTGACCAGGGATCGAACCTGGGCCCCCTGCATTGAGAGCTTGGAGTCTTAGCCACTGGATCACCAGGGAAGTCCCTGTAACTGACTTTCAAATAGCTTTAGGAAAGAAAGTATCTTCAATGCACTTTTAAAACAGAAAGAGATTCACAGACTTCCAGAATGAACTAGTGGTTGCTGGGAGAGAAGGGATAGTTAGGGAGTTTGGCATGGACATGTACACACTGCTACATTTAAAATGTGTAACTAACAATAGAGCACGTGGAACTCTGCTCAATGTTATGCAGCAGCCTGGATGAGAAGGGAGTTCGGGGGAGAACAGATACTTGTACGTGTATATGTATATGTATATGTAAGGCTGACTCCTTTCCGCTGCTCACCTGAAACTATCACAACATAGTTTGTGGCTATACCCCCATACAAAATAAAAAGCTTTAAAAAAAGATACTAGATAGAAAGTACAAGTGACAACAGGCTAACAGAGTCGATAAAGGTTTAGGCAAATTTACAAAACTTGCAATGCTTCATACTAAAACATGAAAACTTTTATTTAGAAGAGCAAAATCACTTGCAAGTTACTGAAACAAAAGTGAACCATGACCCACAGTGGGATCAGAGAGACCTGGGGAATCAGGGTGGTCCCCTGCTGGGTCTGGGTGACCCTTTGGCTTTCTGGATCATGAGGGAACTGGGTCTGGCCAGGGGGTCCCTGGAGGGGGAGATGCTGGAGGCAGCGGCTATTTATAGAGCTGTGGGGGAGCGCTTCTGTGGTTTGACACTTGGTCTGGCTGTGTGAGTCCATCTGGCTAAATGTCAGTCTTGGCTGCAGGGTCTGGGCTGGCGGAGAAATGCATGAAGGTGGGCCAGGTGCAAGAAACCAGCGAGTGGAGGGACGATGGCAAACGGGAGGGCACCTGTCCTGAGCAAGTGGGCAGCCGCTCTGCTCCAGCCGGGGGCTCCAGTGGGGACTGGCGGACTGTGACGGATCATCTTTCCCCCACTCCCCAGAGAAGGCAGAACTCGAGACTGTAAGCTCTGTGCTCACTCAGTCATGTTGGACTCTTTGTAACCCCATGAACTCCAGCTCCCAGGCTCCTCTGTTCATGGAATTCTCCAGGTAAGAATGCTGGAGTGGGTTGCCATTTCCTTCTCCAGGGGATCTTCCCAACCCAGGGATCCAACCTGCATCTGTTGTGTCTTCTACATCAGCAGGTGGATTCTTTACCACTGAGCCATCTAGGAAGCCCTAATGTAAACTACCCCGATCTTTAAACATTCACATCTCAAAAAAACACTGTTTGGGCCAAGCACAACACGTCTTTAGAAGCTGATTCTGTTCTCAGGCTATCGATTTTGACCTCTCGTCCCAAGTGGCCGAGGCTGCCCAGAATACTGTCACTCCCCTGCCATACCCCGGCAGACATCACTCATCCTTCCCAGCGCTCTCTCCCACAGAGCCTGAACCTCACCTCCCTCTAAACACCTGCTGGGTATCAGTTCCCACTGCTCATGACTCTCCCTCCAAAACAAAAGCAAAACAAACACACAAACAAGACCCAGAAGGTTGTCAGATCAAGCCCACTCTGCTGCCTTCCAGATGACACCCCAGCTCTGGCAGAAAGCTGGGTTCTGAAAGATGGCTTTCTGGGCCTGACGCCCCATAACAAAGGGAGAGCACTTTTGGCCTGGCTCTGGTCAAGGGGCATCTGCAAGCAGGGACTGGAGGGTGCTGGTAAACTTTGGGTTGACCCCGTGAGCTCAGGGCATGGGGTCCTAGCCACTACTCAGCGTTCTCTAAATACATTTACTGATGACTCCACATCTGTCTGTCTGTCAGCTCTCAAACCCTTCGTGCTGTGTGTGTGTGTGTGTGCGCGGTCGTGTCTGACTCTTTGTGACCCCAGGGACTGCAGCCTGTCATGTCTCCTCTGTCTATGAGATTTTCCAGGCAAGAATACTGGAGTGGGTTGCCATTTCCTCCTCCAAGGGATCTTCCTGACCCAGGGATTGAACCTGCATCTCTTGTATTGGCCGGTAGATTCTTCACCACTGTACCACATGGGAAGCCCATCAAACACCTTAGCTTGCTCTAATCTCAGCCTTTCCTGTTGGTGGTTCTGACCACTCCAGGCCACAGAGTGGCCTCCTAAGAACCTCCTCTTAGCTGGGGAAGAGAGGCGTAATCTACAAGACCACTGACTGAAGCAGTCGGTGGAGGACCAGCTCTGCACCCAAGGGAACAGGGCAGCAGGGGCTGCAGCTGACAGACCAGATCACTCAGAGCCTCTCGCAGGCTGGAAAAAATCTGCAATCCTCTTCGCAGAGTCAGAGCGGGAGGGCCGGTGAGTCACTGGGCGTGAGCTGCCATCCCCGCCACATACCACCTTGTAAAATGCCTGCCTGGAGCCTGGTCCCCTCCCTGGGCTCTGCCTCTTCTCTGGGGGTTTCTGGAGACTCCAGAGCTGGTCCCATCTCTGCTTCCTGTGGCGGCCACCCCACAGCGGTCACCATCAGAAGCAGGAAGGGGCTGCAGGCGTGGCGGGGAGGTGCCTGCGGCTATGGCTCAGGTCCTGGGCAGGAGTCCGGGCTCTGCTGGGCCTCTGGACTCACCCCCGTTGAGTCACTACACTGGCGTGAGCCTTGGTTTCCTCAAACATCGTACCCGCTAAACTCAAGAGGTCCTTCCAACTTGAGAGGGTTTTGCCCAGGATTCAGAAAAGAACTCCAGAGTTTCCAACGGTCTCAGAGAAGTAGGGACCAGAGGGGCAAGGGCAGAAGGGGTGGGTCAGCCTGATGGACTGTCAGTCTCAGCTGCAGGATGGTGCCTGCATCGGGGAGGTAAACTGTGGCGGCCGGACCCTGGGTGACACTGGTGGGGTGGGCCAGAGCCCCATGGAGCATGTGACCTCAGGGCCCCTTTGAAGCCAGTCTTGCAGGGCCTCCTGGCAGGGCCTAGCCACGAGAAATAGCTGACTGCCCCATCCCCACAGAGAAGAGAGAACGAGACCTCTGGAGGTTGGTAACATAGGACAGGATTTGAGGGTGTCCAGTGATGAAGGCACTGGGGATCCGAGGGACCTGGTAAGCAGTGCCAGGCCACACAGCCCAGAGGGGCCCTGTCTGTCCCGAGCTAGAGGATGGGTTCTGGATGGCAGAGTGTGTGTGAGCAGGACATACCGGGGCGGCATGCCCCTCCCATCACACCCATCCCGCAGACCCCGGCAGAGGAGCCCCCTCTGTGCGGAGCTGATGGAGGCACTTGCCTTGTTCCAGTTGGTGGGGTGGGCCTCCCAGGAGCAGTTTCCGGCCATCTCCAGGCCTGGCCAGTCCACGTTCCTCAAGGCTCCGCTCACAGCTCACCGGCCTGCACAACCCACTGTGCGTGGCAGAAAGGGTCGCATCAGGGGGGCGGTGTCCTCCACGCCGGGGCAGACCCCTCCCCAGGCCCGTAGGGCTGTCCCCTTGGAGGGCAGGTTCATGAGCCATCCCCTGGTTCCCCAGAGGCAGGGCCTTGTGGGAGGCACGGGGCTTCCTGCTGAGTCCAGAGCAGGTGGCATCTGTGTGCACTGCCCCCTCCTTCCCCGGGGAGGGGTTCCTCATTCACCCTGCTGCTGATACCTTAGTGACACCTCCTGGGGAAGAAGTCCTTCTCCTTCCCAGCTCTGTCTGACATTTCTGGAGCCAGATGGTGTCTGGGGATACGTTTGCACACATTTCTTGGACACCACCTTTGTGTCCAGCCAGGGGTGGGACAGGGCTTCCGGGCAGTTAGTTCCAGGAGGGAGCGTGGGAGAGAAAATATCATTTCTGGCAGGAAGACTTCCTGGAGGAGGAGGCTTTCCCCTGGGCCTTGTGTCTGTATGGCATCACCAACTCAATGGACATGAGTTTGGGTAAACTCCAGGAGCTGGTGACGGACAGGGAGGCCTGGCGTGCTGCAATTCATGGGGTCGCAGAGTCGGACACGACTGAGCGACTGAACTGAACTGAACTGAAGGTGTCTGGTCTTTCCCGTACACGTGCCTGGAAGGCAGGGCAGCATCAGCATCGCTGTCATCACCCGCCATCAACCCTGGGTCGGTGAGAGCCTGCTCGCGGACACCCGTCCTCCTGTCTGGTCCTGGGTTCCAGCGAGGAGGCAGATGTAGTCACACCGCTGTGATGAGGGCAGGGAGGTGAAGTCACCTCCCTGCGGGGGTTGGGGGGGCACTACGGCTTTGCAGATTTGTGTCTGCAGAGCCTGGACGGGCTGAAGAGGCAGGGAGGCTGGGGAAGCCAGCCCTAAAGTCACTATGGTGGCCCTAGCTCCAGGCGGGAGGAGGAGCAGCTGGACCCGGCCAGGACTTCAGGTCGGGGCTGGGAGAAGTGAGGGGTGGCCTGAGACTTGTCCATCTTGGCCGGGCAGAGCTCATCGGTGGACTTGCCACGAGCTCACTCGAATTGACCGCGCTCCCCAACTTGAGCTCAGCCCCAACTTGGCAAGCACCCATCCCTTCCACCGTGCAGGTGGGAAACTGAGGCTGTGAGTGGAGGAGGGGCTTTGCGGGGGGCCCAGCCGGGCGGCGGGGCGCGGGGCCCTCCTCCTCCTCCTCCTGACTCCCCCGGAATTCCAACCAGGCCACAGCCAGTCGAGGCCGCCACGCGCCCCTCCGCCCCGGGCCGGGAGGGTGGGCCCGGGCGGGCGCCGGTCATTGGCTGCGCGGAGAGGCGGTTCTTGCGAGCCGCCCGCCCTCTTTAACCACCGGCCTCCCGGAGCTCCCGGCGCGGGGTCGTCTGGAGGGGCCACCGGCGGGGCCGGCGTGGACGGCAGGACTTGCAGCCGCTGGCTGCGCGCGCGGTGGGAGCCCTTTTGCGTGATCCAGCTCGTGAGGCCTGAGCAGTGTGGGTCTGCGAAGGAGCGGGGCAGGGAATGGGTCGCAGGCGTGCATATAACTGTGCCCCCCACCCCCGCCCCCGTGGCGGTCTTGACTCTCGTTGGACCCCTGTCCCCGTTGCCATGGACATATCTCAACCTCCTTCACACGCTGGGACTTGTTGAAACTCTCCGGGTGCCTGCAGCCCTCAAACTGCCCGCCTCAGCCCATCTTCTGGGGAGTAGCTGCCCTTCCACCCTCTTCTTCCTCCAACGACCCTACTCTCCTGCTCATCCTTCCAGACCCACACCACCCGGAGGCCTGGGCCCCAGGCTAGGGGCCCAGGCTCGATGTCCTGACTTGGAGGGCCTCCCGTGTTCCCCTCCCGCCAGGCTAGACGCCACCCCCCACCCCACTCCCAGCACACAGATGCCCCCCAGGATTGCTGGCTGGGACCTGCCCGCAATGGGGCTGGGCACGCAGTGTTGACTCGAGGGGTGGCTGCCACTGTGTGTGTCTGAGCCCTCGCTGCCCTGCCATGGGCCATCAGAAAAGCTGTTGCACTCGTATGGAGGGACCTGAGAGCCGAGTTGAACCCCACGTGGGCCATGGAAGGACATGTGTGAGACATGTGTGAGGGATGGATGCGCCTGAGTGTGTGTGCTCCTCACACTGGGATCCGGCCTATGACAGGGCTAGCTTGCGCTAACACAGACAAAAGAAAATCTGCCAGCTCAGCTCACCGTGGACCCTCCCCTCAAAGCAGGAGCCCAGGGATGGGCCTCCAGCCACCTGTCTGCCTCCCAGGGCCCCAGGAAGCCCCGCATCGCTCACTTCCACCCACCCATGCCTGGGGCTCTGAGCCCGACCCAGCTGGCTATGCAGGGCTTTGCTCCAGGAGGCCTGGCTTGGAGAGAGCCAGCAGTCTACAGTTCTGCCGGCCCCTTGTCTCCTTGGCTGGGGGGCTGCCGCCTGGGCTGGGTCTGAGACAGCTGGCTGTGGGGTGGGCTTGTGGCTGTCCCTCCCCCCCCCCCCCACCCCGGACACAGGGGAGACCTTTCGGAATGCCTCAGGAACAGATAGCTTCGCCCAGCGCCAACACCCCACCAGGCACCGCCCGCCTGGGAGAAGGTGGGACGCAGCTGCCCAGCCTCCGTGGCTGAATAGCCTCCTTCGAGGCTTATTCCTCGCTGTCTACCCCAGGGCTGGCCCCGAGCTGCCGGAAGCGCAGTCTGCTTGCGTGACAGCAGTGGGATGCTGCCTGCTGGGTGTTCCCCTTCCTGCCCTTCCAGAAAACTCACTTGGACGGCTGGAGACTGGCAAGAGTAGGGGAGGCGGGGAGGGGGAGCCCCCACCCCCCGGAGGACAGAGCAGGAGCTGGAAGCCCAGGACAGACGGCTTGGGGGTCGGAGTGCCAGGGCCTGCTGCACAAGATGGGGGCTCTCAAGTGGCCCCGTGTCCTCGGGGCTCCTGGGGCCTCGGATGCTGACAGCACTGCTCTGGGGGTCTCCGGGGGGCTCCTGCTGGGACCCATGTGATTTCCAGGGGCTGCCAGCCTCGAAGGTGCCCACCTCTCTCCCTTTCCCTGCCCAGGCCTTCACCCTGCGGCCCCGGCTGCTGAGATGCCCTCCCCTGGGCCCCGGGCATGTGCCACTACCTGCAGCTGCGGGCCTGATCCTCGGAGGCCTCCCCTTGGCGGAGGGCTCCTCCCGCGATGCCCACCTCTGGTCCCGAACCACCGGGGCGGGCAGGCCAGCCTGGGGCACTGCCGGAGGCTCAGGAAAGGCGAGCTCGGAGTGCAGGAGAGCCTCGCCTGCCTGCCTGCTGGAGGAGATGGCTTTGGAAGTGTAACCCGCCCCAAACCCAATTCCAGGCCCGGCAGGAGGGGCGGGGACGGGGAGGAGCAGGAGGGGCCGAGCTGGGATGAGGCTTTGGAAAGGAATGCCCCGCTCCGGACCGCCCCCCCCCCCCCCACAACCCCACTCCCACCCCGAGCCCCACTGGGAACTCAGCTCGCCGCCTGGTGACGTCACGTTGGCCCGAGCACCGCGGCCCGAGTCCAGCTGTGAATCTGCAGCTCCGAGGGGCTGCCTGCTGCAGGCGGAGAGGGAGCGCCAGGCTCTCCGCTTGCCCGGTGCCTTCTCTTGGCCCCTCCCTGGGCATCACTGGGCGTGCAGGCCTGGGGTGGAGGTGGGGGGGTGGAGTGAGCCCCCACCGGTACCCAGGCACTGATAACGGAGCAGCCAAGGAGGCAGAGGGCGAGGGCTCCATGGTGGGGCAGCGCTCGGACTTCGGAGAGGCCCACCTGGTGACTGCACAGCAGGGCCACGCAGGCGGTACCCCACAGCCCCTTCCACCCCAGGATCTGCCCAGGGCCCCCCTGCGGGCTCCTGGAGCCAGGAATTCCCTTTCCCCAGCCCTAATAGCAATCAGATGGCGCAAGTGGAAAATCACAGCGCTCGCCTGGGGCCGGACAGAGCAGGGAAACGGGAGGGGCTGCGGTGCCTGGTGCGTGCGCCGCTCGGCGGGAGAATGAGTCCGCCTCCTCCCAGTCGGGCGAGCCCCCCGCGGGGTCCTGGGGCAAAGAGCCAAAGCCTAGGGTTGGGGTCGGCAGCGCAGAGGCCAGAGGGGGACGCGTAGGGTGAGGAGCGGCTTTCCCAGGCAGCCACCAGGGAAGGCTCCGCTGCCCTGGACCGACTTTCTCATGGCCCCGCGGAGCCCGGGGGAATTCTGAGCACAGCCTCTGCGGAACACACGGTGCCCAGGCTGGGGGCTGCCTCGGCGGGCCTCGACTCGGCAAGAGAACCCAGACACGGAGCTCTCCTGCACCTGCCCTAGGCCTGCAGCACCTCCGTGCCCAGAGGAGCACGATGTCCCTGCCGCCTGTGAACCTCCGAGGGGGCGCGGATTTTTCCCTACTGGGTCCGGCAGGCCTGGGGTGGGGGGGCCTTTGCTTTTAGGGAGGGGTGGGGGGAGGAGTCGAGGATGCTGCAGTTTCACGGCCACGCCAGAGGAGGAGGGGGAGGAGAGCCTGGGGACCCTCCCCTTCTTTCCCAGGCCGGCCAGCTGGGGCCCAGCTGGGCCTCTTGTTTACACGCGGAGGCCAGGGGGTGGGGCTGGGGGGCCAATCCCAGCAAGTTCCAAGTGTAATTGCGTTTGGACTCTTAAAAGGAATTGTGTGAAGTGGGCAGCGGCTCTGAAGTCCACCGCCTTATTTGGTATGGAAATCTGTTTCTCTCAAAACTAAGAGAGGTGCTTGTAAATGGGAAAGCCATCCTTTGCCTGGGTGTGCTGCGTCCCACTGCCACCCAGCATCCTCTGGCCTGGAGGCCGGGCTCCCGCAGGGACTTGGAGGGAACCCCGGCCGCACGTGGGGCTCCCCTGGCTGCCTCCAGTCTTGGGTGACCCTGGGCCTCCTGGGAAAAATAACGACTCCTGGAGTTGCGGTGAGGAGGGAATCAGGGTGCTGGTGACCCCAGCAACATGTGTCATTCATCCCCCTCCCCCTTCAGCGAGGCCTCTCCCCCTTCAGCGAAGCTTAGGAAGACTTGGAGATGACTGGCCCAGTGCTGGGCACCTGGAGACTGAGACACGGTCCTGACACTTCCAACCCTCCTCTTCTGTCCTCACACTCCGAACAAGCCACCACCCTGCCAGCCAATGTTCTCCGCCCTTCCCGGGAGAACAGGACTTAGTTTCAGTGGTAGTGTGCTGTGGGCCTCAGGTGTCACACCTGCCCTAGCCCCCTACCAGGGTGCAGGCAGGACCTCCTCTGCTAGGCCCTCCTGTGGTCCCTCACTGCCAGATGCTCCCTGGATGGGAGATCGGCCCCTCCGGGACCACGGGGAAGGTGAGGAGACCCCAGGCAGGCCCGCACACCCATCAGAGCGCCTGCTGGGCACCAGGCACTGTGTTGTGAGCTGATGAGCTGGCAGGAGCTGCTGTCGAGCTGGGAGGCAGACCAGAATCAGAGGACCCAAACCCGTGTAAAACCACCCGTGGACAGAAGGCCCTGGGGCTGGGCATGCCAGCGAAATTAGGATGACTTCTTGGAGGAGGTGGTGATGGCGCCCATGGGGAAAGTTGGGAAGGAGTGACTCAGGTGAGAACGGAGGAAGGCATCTCCGGCAGAGGAAACTGCATGGGCAAAGGCCCTGGGGCAGGGATGCGAGCTGCATGAGTGACGGGCCTGGGTGAGGCCAGGGGGAGGAAGGGAGGGCAGAGGCGTGGATGAGACCCTCAGGCCAGGCCACTCTGAATGGCCCTTCCTGGCCCAGGATCTCACCCTCTGTGTCCTGTTCTCACCTTTATGCTGCCCTTTGTCCCATCTGCTCAGGGGACAAAGGCAGTGATGATGATGACAATTACAGCTGGTCTGCTGAGCCAGGTGGAATGACTTCATCCTCACAGCACGCCCTTTCGACATGCTCAGGCAACACACATTTACTGAGCACCTACTATGTTCTAAAACCTGGGAATCCACTGAGGAAGGAAGAGATAAAGACCCCTGTGTACAAGGTGCCCAGATTCCGGAAATGAGGAAACTCAGACCCAGGGAGCATCTCTGTGTAGCTCCTGGAGCCCCCCCGCCTCCCACCACGCCCCATCCAATGTCAGGACTTGAGCTGGGGTGCTGGGAGCTCTCTGTATCTACAGCTCCAGCACTGGGCACGGAGGTGTCCAGGTGGGAGGGGAGCTCTAGAGGCCCACGTTCTGGTCCTGCCCTGCCTCTGATGAGCCAAGAGATGATGAGCCTCTTTCCCAGGGGTACCATGGAGGAAGGTGGTGGGGTTTGAGACGCCCTGTCCCCACCTTCTGCTCCAGCTCTGATAGGTTAGCGCTTCTCTTTTCTCAGCAGGTCTTTTGAGATACACTTCATACACCAAATGATGTTGTTCAATCGCTCAGTCATGTCTGGCTCTTAGTGACCCCATGGACTGCAGCACACCAGGCTCCTCTGTCCTCCACTATCTCCCAGGGTTTGCTCAAATTCATGTTCATTGAGTCGGTGAGGCCATCCAACCATCTCATCCTCTCCTGTCCTCTTCTCCTTTTGCCTTCAATCTTTCCCCGCATCAGGGTCTTTTCCAATGAGTCAGCTCTTGGCATCAGGTGGCCAAAGTATTGGAGCTTCAGCTTCAGCATCAGTCCTTCCAATGAATATTCAGGGTTGATTTCCTTTAGGATTGACTGGGTTGATCTCCTTGTAGGCCAAGGGACTCTCCAGAGTCTTCTCCAGCACCACAATTTGAAAGCATAATTCTTCGTCAGTCGGGCTTTCTTATGGTCCACCTGTTATAGCCATACGTGACTACTGGAAGAACCAAAGCTTTGACTATATGGATCTTTGCTGAACAAGTGATGTCTCTGCTTTTTAATATGCTGTCTAGATTTGTCATAACTTTTCTTCCAGGGAGCAAGCATCTTCTAACTTTATGGCTGCAGTCACCAGACAATTCACATCTTTAAAGTCTATGATTCAGTGGTTTCACTGGATTCACAGAGTTGTGAACCATGACTGCAGTCTAATTACAGAACATTGTTGTCAATGTTCAGAAGAACAGAAGAACCTCATACTCATTAGCAGTCTTTCCAGCCACCCACACCCCAGACCCTGGTCACCACTCTTCTAATCTCTGTAAATTTACCCGTTCTGGACATGTTGTAGAAATAGAATCACACAGGTCTTTTGTGTCTCGATTCTTTCACGCGGTGTAAAGTTCTCAAGGTTTTTACATGTTGTGGATTCACGTATCAGTGCTACATTCCTCTTGTTGGTGACAGGCAGGCTTTTCAGGGTCCAGGCCCCCCCACCTTCTCTTGGCTAAGCTCCTCTAGGAGATGAGGCAAATGTGTGCATGGTCTGGGTCTCCCAGGTTAGTTCCTGAGGCCCTTTGGTTTCAACCCTTGAGATTGAAAAAGTCTCTCCAAGATCTAGCTGGTTTTCCCGATGGGAAGAGAGAGGAGGACACTTCCTCCCTCCTCTCGCCCCTTCTCCAGCTAGAGCATCCGTGATGGAATGTGCATGTGGGGAATCTCTGTAGAAACCTGCATTCTCCTGTGTCCTACATGTGAAAGACTAATCATTTGTTCATTCATGCATTCATCATCCTATCTGTTCATCCATCCATCATCCATCAACCACCCATCCATCATCCATCTTACGTCCACCCATCACTCATTCATCTATCACCCATCCACCCATCATCCATTTATCCATACATGCATCCACCATCCATCCATCCATCCATTATCCATTCACCCATCCATGCATACATGCATGCATCATCTATCCATCCATCATCCATCCATCCATTCTTACCTTCATTCAACACATATTGACTGAACACCAACAATGTTGGCGTTGGGGAAACAACTGTGGAGAAATCAGACATGAAGGGAGAGAAGAACAGGTGACAAACAGAAATATGTGAACTCAAGAATGCCAACTGGAATCAGTGCAGGTAGGATAATGAACAGGTGTGGTGATAGAAAATGATGTGGTAGGAGAAGATAAGGTGTGATGTAGTCTGAATAATGCCCCCCTAAAGATGCTGACATATGTCCTAATCCCCAGATCCTGAGACTAGAGGAACTTACATAGCAAAAGAGACTTTGCAGATATGACGAAGCTAAGGATACTGAGATGGGAAGCTTACCCAGGGTTATCTGGGTGGGCCCTGTATAATCTCAAGGGTCCTCACAGGAGGGAGACAGTAGGGTCAGCGTGAGATGTGATGACAGGAGCCAGGCAGGATATCAGGCAGGAGATGTGATGAGCAAAGAAAAGAAGTTGGAGGGATGTCAGAAAGGGGCCATGGGGCAAGGATGCATTAGCCTCTAGAAGCTGAAAGAGGCAGGGAAATGGATTGTCCCCTAGGGTCTCCAACTCTGCCCACACTTTGATTTTAGGCTTCTGATCTCTAGAACTACAAGAGAACAAATGTGTGGAGACATCCCTGGTGCTCCCACTGCAGTGGGTTCAATCCCACAGGCCCTGTGGCAGCCAAAATAAAATAGAGAGAGAAAATAAGTGTGTGTTGTCTTAAGGCACCCAGTTTGTGGTTACAGCCACCCACTGGTTACAACAGCTATAGGAAGCTAGGGCAGGATGGTAGAAAGGCCTTTTCATCAAGGCCAGGCTGGAAGCTCTTT